CTAAAATTGCTCAGAAAGTTTTGTAGTTCTGAACTTCGAATATATTAAAAATTTCTTTGAAATCAAAAGTATGAGGTACGAACATCCAAAACGTCACAATTACAGAAGCAACCTAAAGCTGTAATACTTCTGCTTTTGCTTATCATATCCAGACATCTGTCATAGTTTCTCACTGGAAGCCAAAAGGTCATATCGAAAGCGAGAAACTAAGATTTTTCAGTGTTTGAAATTTCAAATATATTCATAGTTTGAAAGTTCGCTGAATATCTTAAATTGGGAAATCTGAAAGGTTCAACACTACAATTTTTCTTATTAGTTTTTCGACATATGTGATGGTCTTTGGCGGTGTCAAAAAACACTGATACGTCTTGAACTCTCTGTAAGGCGTTTTCCTTTCTTACTAGATATTTCAACGCTAATAATCAATTGCCTTTTAGAAAAAAAAGTTAAAAGTAAGAAAAAAATCGAAACGAGAAAGAAACATATCGCACTATAGGTCGAGTAGTGATTTGAACAAACATGCTTCAGATATACATAGAGTCACATCCAAGCAAAAATTAATTAATTATCGTTTCTAGGTCTTAGAGTTTTCACTCTAAGGGATATATCTGAACTTCTAAATTTTCAAACAATCAAGAATAAAAAATTTGAAATTCATGAAGTCGAAGTCCCAAAACCCCAAATGGTATGTTGACATTTTTGTCAAGGCTTATGGTTTAGGCACTTACACCTATCATTTTTTCTTATACACTTCAACATTCATGAGCAATTGTGTAAAAATTACTCGAAAAATATTCACGCCTTTTCTTTATCATGATATCCTCGTCCATTGATTCTCTATGTCAATGGTTCATTTAACATCTCATATACTAAAGTTTTTTTAATACTTTTCTTTGGTTAATTGATAAATGAAAACTATTGTGATAGACTTTGAACACCTGAGTAATACGATATATTATTGTATTGCGTTTGTGCTCGAATTTATATGAACCAGCACACTGCATAGCAATTATGGTTTCATACTGAAAAGTCGAAAATGGAAAATTTAATTCTTTTTTATTTGTTTATGATTTCACAAAGAACTATGTCTGTTGGTTGAGCTGCTATAGAATCATCTTCTTTTAAATATTGCAACGGAACAATGAACGGCAAGAGTACACTTACGTGAAGTAGTCGCTGTCGTGTTAGTTATTGCAGTAGTGGCTGTTGTGATAGTTGCAGTGGTTGTAGACCCGAGGGCATTCACTAGGTAAATGGTTCATATAAAATGAAAAACATTAAAACAACAAAGTCTGTTTCATTCTTTTTCAAATTTGAATCAACAGAAATGAGAATTCAATTTTACTAAAACTGTCGTCGAAGAACACTTATAAAAAAGCTAGCACGTCGCGTTCTTCACATGATATGCACAAAGCGAGTGAGTATATGAGTAAGTTTTCCTAGTCAAGAGACGACTAACCCATCAATCAAGTTTTTCCATTCTGATTAGTCCGGTAACAAAAATCTCGCATATCAATATAGTTTTCCTTCAAAATTCAACAACATTCAATTTGGCATAGATGTTTTCAAGATTTCTTTAGCTTCTGCACTGATCACCTTGCGTATATGAAAGAAAAAAACAAGATAAATCTTAGAAAAAAATCATTTCGTATCTGATCTCAATATTCATAAGGCTTAAAGTCAGTCTCATTATACCAGTGCTTGTAGTTACTGTCGATTTTGTCAATATAGTAACAATTCCATAGACACCAAGTACCATGACTGCCAATACAAATACAATAATGATTGGCAGACAGAAAATGAACGCCGGAAAGGACTTTCTTTTAATCTTGGTAGTGCCTTTCTTCAAAGACCTAAAACAAATAGCAGTTCGTGCAGTTGGAAAATTATAGTTGAGAAACAGTTTAACATGTTTTAACAATAGATAGATAGAGAATGATCCTATAAGTGTTACTAACTTGCTGAAGTTTCTAGATGATGACTTTCTTTGGTTCAATGGTGATGGCATCTTAGATGGAGAATGATGGTCCATAGAAGGTTTAAGTATTCGAGATGCACTCACACGCGAGGATAAATAACGATTCTTATGCTTTCGTTTCGTACGTTGAGATTTTACCTGTGAAAAAAAAAGATTCACTATTTTGAGTCATTCATTAGAAGTTAAGTCTAATTATTATTTCGATAATAATATATCGAACACCACACGTACTTGAGATTGTTTTACAAATAAGGTACTTTTTGGCACATGCGACATTTGGATATATTAAAATATATCTCTTGAAAATATTCTGATTTTTTTATACTATTGTATGATGATATAGATTCGAAAATGTTGAAGTATTCGCTCTTGCTGATTATTTGTATTAATCAAATGACTGCAGAAGTTTCGTACATCGTATATTAATAAGGTGAGAGAAACCTTGTCAATACCCTAGAAGAGGCTATGATCGATATTAATAATGTGAGAGAAACCTCGTCAATACCCTAGAAGAGGCTATGCTGCCTACTTTTTAATCACTTTTGTAATCTATAGTGTGTAAAGAAAATGTATTCCTTGTTGTATTATTCACTTAAACCAAAATATTTACATTTGATGATAAAAACACATACAAAACTCAAAACTTCCATTGAAAATGACTGATAGAATGACATTGTATTCAATTTTTTTCACGGAGCCACTTCAAAAAAATCAAATCCATCATGCTCAGCGGGGTCCTATCATTAATTGCTTCTCATTTGTCTATTGAACGATTGAATTATTAAAATCACTCAGCAGAGATGCCCACAGAATGAAATAATACAATTGGTTCGCTAATACAGGATTGAACTGAAAGTAGTCAAAGCTTTAGATGCCCATGCATTAACCTTGGATGACTAAAGTGGGTCCTAAAGTCATGAAAAAAACACTCTCGGATGCATGTTGACACAGTTAAGAGTATGAGATTGTGAGGATTATCTCAATGGAGGAGAATGATTCGATAATAATAATTAAAAGGCTCTTCCCTCTAATAGGAAAACTATTCCAACTGACAAATCGCTTTTGAGTCAAGTCTATGTGCATTATTTAGGCTCAAATGAGCTATAAATATCCTGAAAAGATTTCGAGTCTTTAGATTATTACTACGGAGATACACCAGGAAAACTAATGTTTGAATTTTAACTTGAAACTTTGCATAAGAACAGGCCTTTATGAGACACCAAATCTACCGGTTTATATGAGCGATGTAAAAGAAACGCTATTATCATAGCTGTATCTCATGATAGAAACAGCAACGCGATCTGAAACAGACACAAAAAAAACTATTCTTGTTAAGATCTGTCTCTATGCAAAGTTTCAAGTCAAAATTCGAAAATAAGTCTACCTGGTATTTCTGAGGGGGAACCAAAGTATTCATTCAGAAAAATGCCGTGGATGTGTAGTATTTCCCAAGAAATAATCTAAGGGAACGAACTCTTTTCAGGATATTCATCGCTCATTTGAGTCTACGCAATGCATATAGTCTTGACTCAAAAGTAATTCATCAGTTGGAAGGTTTCTCTTCTAAGGCTACCATATTAACACGATAGAGAATGAAATTTTGTAATCAACACAAATCAGCAAATGAAACTGGACAAAAATGATTGAATATGACCCTAATTTTACTTAGGTGCTCTAATATACTTTTCCTAGTGAAACATCTTGTAAGCAAGATCTTAATATCTTGTGACAAGATCTTGGCCAAGATACAAGGAACAGAAATGTTAACAGATCTTGATAATTTAGGTACAAGATAATAACGTTATCGTCTTGCACCAAGCTCGTGACCTGATAGTACCTGTTACGGATGATTTTACTACTGCTTGGAGCTAGATTGTCCCGAATCATTTAAGAAAACATGATCTTCATTCAAAGGTGTTCGTGAGGACGGCGATTAAGAACGGTTTTCGAACTGGCCATTGGTCTGTAACTTGACTCCTTCTTGTATTTGCAGCAGCGATCCGATTTCAGATTCATATTCAGCGTCAAATTTTACTTCGGATTGGCTATCTCGATAGTATTTAGAGTCATCCGTAAACGACTTTTACTGGTCATTTTTGACCACGGATATTTTAGTTAAGATCTTATGGCTCTGTACCTAAGATCTGATTACAGATCTTGATAAAAGATAATGACATTAATATCTGTAGCTAAATTTTCAAGATCTGTTAACATTTCTGTACCTTGTATCTTGGCCAAGATCTTGGTTACAAGATGTTGCACAAGGGTCAGAATAGCTATCGTTGGGAAAAGAAGAAATCATGCCAGTTATCTTCGAACTCATTATAAATACGTGGTACGATAATGAACTATCATTTAAATTCCTATTTCATCGTAAGAGCCGAGTCGATATTTGTTGATCTATATTCTGATCCTGTTAGAATAACTTCAACGTTAATTGTATTCAATCGTATGTTGACTGTTGGTTACTGCTATCATAGAAAACTTATCTGACAGTCATAGAACATCGATAACATAGGAAGAGTAATAATTTTAAAATTCGTTAACTATCCAATTATTGATTCGAATGAAGAGGATCTACAGTGTAAAATTCTTTTTCACAAACTTGCCACCAACACTTTCATAAGAATCATGAACTATATCTTGCCGAAATACATTTTTTGTCGGTTGACTTTTGAAATATTTAGTATAAATCATATGTCGATTGAGATTTTAATACATCGAAATTCGTGACATGATTTCTCTATTTATTTATTTCATAATCTTAGGATGACTTATATAACTTCTTCAAATCTGTGAGATACTATAGTTCAACATGAATGGTGATAGACAACTCATTATATGACAGGCTCACAATTGAAATAAAATCGAGTAGAAATTGTTTGTCAATTCTGTTTTTTTTTTCATAATAAATTTCATGTGAAAAATTATACTACTTTACTTCTGTCAACATTAATAACATTCATACCTATCACAGACACAGTAGGTGGTCTTCTTTATAAGCTTTTAGAATCATTTTCTAATGTATACACCGAACAGAAGTGTCGAACATAGGCAAACGCCTATATTCATTCCTTCTACACCAAATCGAGTAAAAAAATTCTCTTCGTTATCTTTTTTTTTTATAAATTTACACTTCATACTTTAGTCATCCCAAGGCCCAATATATCATGTCTATAGTCATTATGGATGTAGTAGTAAAGATGTTGATCGTTGTGCGATGTGTAAATATTTATTACAACCAAATACTTATCTACATACAAATCCTCAATCATTTATTGCTGCAACAAAACATTCCAGCTTGCCACCAATTCAACGTCAATTATCACCAACACCTATCAAACCAATTCGATATCAAATTGATGATCAAAATGATTTATATCTCTTGCCGAAAATTCCTGGATCATCAAAAACACAACGAGAAGCTGAAGATGCTGCTATTATTAATATATGTTTAAAAGATAAATCTATTGATCGTATTATACTTGTCGATGCTGATGAAGATAATAATCCTGAAGACGATGACGATGTTCTCTATGTACGTTTATATGACCTTGAATAACGTTCATGTTCATAATATATTTTGACAGTTATGATCATTTAAGAAAGAGAAAGAAAACTTAGATTACAGACATCAAAAGACAGAGAGAGAGTAAAACAAACCTACATATAATTATACAATAAACAAAGAAACAATTATATCTATTTAATCTAGCGCATCCTGTTGATAGTCTAAAATTATAATAAAAAAATAAAATATTCCAAAAAATTATGAAAATTAATAATCCTTTGAACAACTCACTTAATCAAACTTCAACAGCAATAGTATCATTAACAATCATATTAACTTCCGATTCATTTGTTTCAACAATCGGTTCGCCCATTGTGTCGTTTATTTTAAGTTTTTTTGTTTGATCACCTGTTCGTTCATTATTAACAAATTTTTCTTCTGTCTGTTCATCATCATTATCTAATTCACGTTTATTCTCTGTACGATTAACAATAGTTGTACATGTTTCTTTTTCACTTTCATTTACTTCTTTAAATGGTGTCGTAGATCGACCAGGTGAAACACATGTTGATACATTTATATTTGTATCAATAACATTTTCTTGTTCTTCAATTGGTTTTGGTGTTGTTGATGGTACAACTTCATCATCATTCGTTTCAACATTTTCATTTATGCTTTGATTTTCTATTGTTTGTATTTCACCATGAATTTCTTCGATCTTCTTTAAAACATCATCAGTTACATGATCAACAACTTTTCCTGATTCTTCTAGTACTTGTTCTTCATTTTCAATGGATATATTGGTTTTTTCCATAATTTTTAATACTAAGATTTACATGATAATTAATAAAAAAAAAAAAGATTGATTTTTCTTTTTACTTACTTTCGTAATGAAAAATTAGTATATTAAAACAAAATTCTGAAGCAGATATCCTTGTTATGAACTATCGAATGAATATATGCCAAAGAAAGAAAAAGATACACAAATATATATTATAGCGAGCAGACGGATAGATAGACAAGGCACTATTGTATAAAGATGAGAATTTTCTCGATAGACAATTATAAACGAAGATCATATGAAAGATGGCGTTATACCACAGGAATAGTTTTGTTTTTTTTGCTAAGTTTAAGACAAGAATAAAATGCCACTATACTAATTTTCTGGTGGATTGTAATTTGATGAGTCTCTATTGATGATAGTATTAATTATTAAATTTTTTTCTTCCAAAATAAGTATTATTCTAAATGCATAAACGGATAATAAGATATGAAAATGATTTGATAATTATTAAATGTATAATTATGAATTAAATTCCTAAAAAATTATTTTTTTTTATCAAAAATAAAATTTTAGAAAGCGGAAATAAAACTTTTTATTAAAATTCATTGGTATTAGTAATTAACCAACGAAAAAAGACCAAAAACTCGTATATATAAGCAAGCATCTGCACATTTTCTTTCTTCCTTTTCACGAAGAACATTCATAGATCTGTCAGTACAGAAGAAAAAAAAAAACAAGAAGTCATGTCAAGTGATAAACAAATTCCTGCTGTTGCTGAGGTTAAAAATGGCAAGGAATCTGATAGTACAGATACAACGAATGAAGATAATGTGAATAAAGTAAATGAGGATAAACAAGCTCCACAATCGGATGAACAATTAACAACAAAAACAGAAGAAAAACAAGAAGAAAATAAAACGGAAACAACAGCAGATGCAATAGAAAAAAACAATGATGATGAAAAAATAAGTAATAATAATAATAAACGTGATATTGATGAAGTTGACAAAGATGATGATAATGAAAAAAAAAATGGTCAAAAACAAGATGAAGATGAAGAAGCTATTGTATCAACAACAACAAATAAAAAAATTAAAATTATGGATCCATTAACAACTGAAAATGGTGGTGATTCGGATGAAACATCATTAACAAGTGCAAAAGTACCAAATGAAGAACTAACTGTTGTTTAATTAATTGTTGTCATTTTTAAATCTCATATCAATACACAAAAGGAAAAAAAAACAAAATGAACTAGTCAATCTATCTATTCGTTTGTTTGTTTGTTTTTGTGTGTCGCATATTTAAGTCTTTTATTATTAATCAGATATGTATAAGAAAATTAAAAAAAAATAAGTCAGCCGCTTTTTATGTTGTATACATTAATTAGAAATGTTTTTGTTAGTTTAATAAATATTGTTTTTGTTCTAGATTATTAAACTTTAAATATTAGTATGGCAACAACATCATCAAATCATATTGAAATAGAGTAAGTTAGAAAGAATAGAGACATATGACTTGTTTAAAAAAAATTTTCATTTCATAATCTTAATTATATTAATACAATTTTATGAGTTATTTTATTTCGTAAAAAATTCTTTGTAATAATAAATTTATATCCAAATGAATGTGAGCAGTTTTTTATTTGACTGAAGTTTAAGAAATAAAAATTTTTACACAGAGATGGAGAGAGAACTCATTGAAAAAGATATTTTGTTTTTATAGATTATTTATTACTAAAGATAAATACTTCTAATTGTTATTTAGAGATGAAGAAGCTAATACATCATTTATGGTCGGTAAACGAGACGTTCTATTACATAATTATCAATCTGCATGTGATCATTTATCAAAAACATGTGAACGAATGTAAGAAAATTTTCTTAATTATTTATTGTAAAGAAAATTCTTGTAAATTTTTTTCAGTGTAAAATTACGTGGAAGTGATACAGCAGTTGAACTTGCTGAACCATATTTTTATTATGGTCAAGCATTACTTTATCTTGGTCTTAGTGAACAACAAGTATTTGGTAGTGATATTGTCAAAGGTTAAATTTTTAAGATATATTAAGTTTGTTTGATAGAATTGCTTGTTTTTTTTACAGATGAAGATAACGATGAAAATGAAAATGAAGAAGGCGAGGAAGAAGAGGAAAAAGAAAAAGAAAAAGTAGAAGAAGAACAAGAAGAAGAAAGAGA